CTCTGGGGAAGGTTGGAGGTCTTGGCTTCTATGATCTCTTGGGAAAGAATCCCTGGACTCTGTACATTTCATAAGCAAACTTTCACTTGGTCCATCCAGAATGTTGGCATGGTACCTCTGCCTTGCCTTCCACTGTGTCTAGTCCTCTCTGTTTAAGTGATGCCCCAAAGGACTGGGGGAAGTGGTTCAGGGCGTAAAGTGCTTTCTTCAATAGCCTGATGACCTGAGTTTGAGTTTGGATCCTCAGAACTCATATAACAGCCAGACAAAGCAGTAGCACAAGTTATTATCATCACAGCATGCCGCTGCCGGGAAATGGGAGGTAGAGACAGAAGAGTTTCTAGAAGCTTCTGGGCCAGCATCTGGAGTTCACAGCAGTGAATAACAAAAGACTCATCTCAAGCAAGGTGGATGGTGAGAACGGTAAAATGCCTAGCTAGTTTTGAAAAACAGGGGGAACCATATTACTCCTACAACCTACTGACAAATTATACATAGCAGATCAAGAAATATATGTCTAGGTAAGGTTTATCTGAGAACAATTGGTCTTTGCCAAAGATTTATCTACATGACACACAGTAATTAAAAGTACCAGACTGGTGGAACTAACCTTCTTGGATGTTTAACAGACATACTTTAAGGCCTATAATAATTTGGTCAGAGGAACATAAAGGACACTTTTTGCTCCTTGCCCTCCTAGGTCGACTAGTTCCAGGGGACTATGAGCATCTCTCAAAATGTCCTGTAGTTGTGGTGGGTCACCTGTCCTCTTGTACAAGGAGGCTGAGGAGACCCCACCAGATAGACTTGAACCGGTGTCCAGTCTACAAAGAGGAGGGTCAACACAGAGGAATCATTTCCTCCATGCTTCCAAGCAAAGCCAACCATGGTCGAGCAGGACCTTTGACTTATCTTCACATAGGTGGAACTGGTAAAAGAAAGGAGCCAGGGGCTCCTCCCAAGCCCATGTGACCCCTGAGAACAGATCCATCCTCAAACGACCTTAAGAGTAAAAATAAATTGGTTTATCTGCATGAACTGTATGGCCTTAACCACCCAAAAGGAAAGTATAACCAAAGATTAAAGGGGCCAATATAATTTCTTAAGAGTCCATAGACACAGCTAAAGGCTACATAAGAAGCAACAATGCCAGATAGGAGATACCTTCTTTTGAGTTGTTGGCTAGGGTGGCCAAAGGGACTCCCAGATAGTAACCCAGCATAGAACTGGGGAAATGAACAGCAGACTCCCACCTTTTCTTTATTATTTTTATTTTATGTGTATGCATGATTGCCTGCATGTAGGTAAGTGCACCCGTGTTGTGCAATGCCCGCAGAGGACAGAAGAGACTGTCGGATCCCCTGGAACTTGAGTTACGGACAGTTGTTAGCCACCGTGTTGGTGCTGGGAACGGAACTTGTGTCCTCTGCAAGAGCAGACAGTGCTCTTAACTGCTGAACCATCTCTCCAGCTTCCTTTTGTCCACTTTAAATTAATTTTTATATATGATGTGAGGAAGGGGTTGAGTTTTATTTATGTGTGAATATCCAGCTGTAGTAGTCCCATTTATGGAAATCAATATTCTTTCTTACTCAGTTGTCTACACACTTGCTGAAAAATCAACCATAAATGTGAGCATTCATTTCTGAACTCCCAATTTGATTCTATTATCTTTTTTTCAATTTTTATGCCAGAATCATAATCTTGAATTTTAGAATTTCATCATAAATTTTGAAAACAGGATCTATTACTACCAAACTGGCTCTTCTTTTACAAGATTTGTTTCACTATTTCATATCCCCCACTTTTCCATTTAAATTTTATCATTATTGATTTCTGCAAAAATAATTACATGCATTTTGAGAGCCATGTTATTATGTCTCAGTGCCTCTGAATTTATATAGTATTGTATTTGTTTTTTGGGGGGTCATTTTAAATATTTTATAATTTTTATTTTATGTGTGTGAGTGTATTGCCTGCATGTATGTGAGTGTGCCCATGTCGTGCAATGTCACGGAGGTCAGAAGAGGGTGTCAGATTCCCCTGGAACTGGAGTTAAAAAGGTTTGTAGCCACCATGTGGGTGGGTCCTCGAGTGCTCTTAACCGCTGAGCCATCCCTTCAGCAGTATTGTATTTGTTTTAAACCACTCTCAAAAATTTACTAAGTCTGTTTGAATTACTTACTACAAATATATTGTGGATAATTTTTAACCTATAATTTTTGTTTTCTTTTTTTAAAAAAAATATTTTTTTAATTTTATGACTATGTGTGTATTGCCTGCATATGCACCCGTGCTGTGCAATGCCCGTAGAAGTCAGAAGAGGGCATCTGATCCCCTGGAACTGAAGTTACAGACAGTTGTTAGCTGCCATGTGGGTGCTGGGATCTGAACCCAAGTCTTCTCCAAGAACAGCTAGTGTTCTTAACTGCTGAACCATCTCTTCAACCCCATGTTTTCTGTTTACAATATTTCTTTCTTTTTCTTCCCTGCTCTCTTCTTGGGTCCTATCAAATTGCATATGATTTTTAAATTTCCTCTTTTTCTTCCTACTAGTCCTGAAATTACATATTGCATTTCCCTTCTTTAGGAGATTATCCCTATGAGCGAACATATTTTAAAAGTCAGTGACTTTTCTGGAAATCTTGTTTGATTACTTTTAAAATTCTTCTGTTGGTCCTAATTAGACATCCCTCTCTTCATGAATAATCTAAAATCTTTTAAATACTTTTCACTCTAATTTGATCCCTTTTTCTCTTCCATTTGGTTGTCTACCATTATAAATCCTTCCTGTTATTAGGCTCTTTCAATTAAATTAGTCTTTTAAAAAAGTTTTAAGCCAAGTATGGTAGTACATGCCTTTATTCCCAGCACTTGGGAGGCAATCTGTGAGATTGAAGCCAGCCTGGTCTACATAGCAAGTTTCAGGCCAGCTAGAGCTACAGGGAGACCCTGTCTCAAGAAAAAGTTTCTTAGTGCTAGGAATCAATCTCAGGTATTGTGTATGCTAGATAACTGCTCTAGCTTTGAGTTATATACTCAGACCCAGTTAGTCTGGGTTTGTTTGTTTGTTTGTTTGTTTGTTTGTTTGTTTAGGGGGGAATAATTTAGGGGTCATTTATGTAACAACGTTTAATAATTTGTTTATCTTCACTTATTTTTGGTTTTTCTTTTAGGTTAAATCTTCTCCCCTGTAGCACATCCTTTAGTAGCTTTTTCAACAGAATTATGTCTTTTATTCACTTCTATTTTGAAAGTTTTAATGATTTTCCTACAACCATGAAAATCAACAACTGACAAAATAGCGCTGAAGCTCCCTGTACCCCTCAAATAGCCTCAACCAACACAAACATCCCACTACCTGCATGAATTACACTTTTACTGGGTATAATTTAGTTGATGATATAGTCCTGGGCACAGTTGTCAGTTGGTCCACAGTTTTGTATATTTGATTGTGAAACGTCTTGGCTGTCATCACTTCAATACTTTCTCTTTCTGTTCCTTTCTCAGCAGTGTGGTGAACTTTATCTTTGATTTTCTGTACTCAAAATTAATCTTCCAAAGGTTCTCTTTCATCTTTCTTAGGTAGATTTGATAATTTCCTCAGCTCTAGTTCCTGTACCTTTACTTTGTTTTCCTTGACTGTCATCAGTACTTTAAATCACTCACTGAATGTTTAAGTCAATGACTTTTCCTTCTACAAGTACTGTTTGGTTCTTTGTAAAATTATTCTTTACGTCATAAATGTCCCACAAGATCTGACCTTGTTCAGTGTGGTTTCTGTTCATGTTTAACCTTTTCTATGACTTAAAACTTGTACTTCAAGTGTATTTATTGCTGTAATATAAACATATAAAATTAAAATAATAAATGTAAATGACACAGGATGAAATTTTTACAAAATAAACATACTCTTCTTACCAGTACCATTTAAAGAAATAAAAGGTTGCAGAATCCCAAAACTGTCTCGTACCTTCTTTCAGTTACTCCTGTCTGCAGCAGCAACCACTGTCCTGACTTCTAATACGATACATGAGTTTCGCTTGCCTTTGAATTTTATATCTGAGCAATACATTGTAAATATTATTTTACAGTGTTTTTCTTTTCCAACATATTCCATATGCATTTAATTTTAGTTATTCTTAACTAGTGACAGTGGTGTAAGAGATCCTATATAAGTCTTTAATCTCTTGGCTTTTATGCCTATTCCTGTCATAGTTAATTTATGAATCCTGGGAGAATCTCATTTTAATTATTAGATTTGGAAATCCTAATATTCTCAGAAGACTTAAATTTGGGTTTCTCACTTCAGTGGTATAGGCTGAATGTTTTCTTTCTTTCAGGATTACTGCTTTTTGTCCCCGTTTAATTGCTCATGTCAGACTATGTAATACCTTGTTGTTTTTGTTGGATGAAGATTTTTGCCTGTTCTTTTTTCACAGTCAAAAAAATCCTTCAGACTCCATGCTTTATCTACCAGTGTTAACTCCAGAACATGTCACTCATTTGTCTTTGTTTAGACATAAAAAGTCCAGTCTTATGTTTCTTAGGCACTGCCATGACATAAGTTGTTGTGGACCTTCCCCATGCCAGTCCCCACCTCTTTACCTTTACATTCTACACTCTCCTGTGGTCTACATGTTTTTTTCCCCTATCATTTACATATGTATATATATGTATATATATATATCACTTTATTATATATACTTAAAAATCACTTTATTATTTTGATGTGTTTGGGGAGGGAAAGGTAAGTATGGGGAGGGGTGTATACAACAGATCTGCACTCAGTCACTACTCTAGTCCTAGAAACTGGGCAGATTGCTACATTGCCACATTTTCAGTGATTGTGAGGTGGGTGAGTAGATTACAGATGCTGTTTAAGAGCATGGACTAAAGTTTTTCTTTAGCTAAATTACTTGGACCATATAAAACCCATTAGTTTATTGAACAGATCCAGATCAATATGAACTAATTCAATTTTTTCCGTTGTTTTATAGACGCAAGTTTCCAAAAATAATATAAAGAAAAAGCCCAAATTTATAAAGAGAAAAAGGTATGTTTTATGAAAGTAGAAGTATTATGATAAAATTGAAATGTGTACTTTATATTTTGTTATATGGTATTTTCCAGATCTATTATTTGGTTTCAATAAAGAAATATTGTGTTTAAAATTTTCCAAAAGAATTAATAAAGTAGTAATCTTAAAAGCATAGGGAAAGTTATTGTTTTATTTTGCTTTTTCAGACAGTTTTACTATGAGGCCTAGGCTAGCTTCAAACTTACTGTCCTCCTGCCTCAGCATCACAAATGCTGGAATTACCGGCACATGTTAAGATACTTGACTGAGAAAGTTTTATATTCATACAAATATATTGAACCCAATCTTTAAACAATTATTATCATTTGAACAGCCACACAGACTTTTAGCTTAAAATATTAAAGACAAACCAGAATCAGATCTCCATAATAAATAAGCAACTGCTAGTAAGCTTCAATGTTGGTTCTCTCCTGCCACTTTGTGGAATCTAAGGATTGAACTCAGGTTGTCAGTGCTGCGCAAAAGCACCTTTATCCACTGGGCCATCGTGCCAGCCTGAAGATTGTTTTAAAAATGGGTTTTGATGACCTTATCTCAATCATGCATCATAGTAACACCATTAAATGTATCAAGAAGTGCATCACAGCTGTCTCCATTTAAAGGATGAAGAATCGTAGCTTGTAGAGGTGATTTTTCTCAGACCTTCTGATTGGAAACTATGCATTGGCACAGATGACTCCTGGCTCTAGCCACAAACACAGTCTGGGAGTAGGAATTGTGACTTTGCAGTCGTGGTCAACCATTTGCCTATGGTGCCAAGCTTCTCATTTCTTCTAGTAGCTCAAATTTCTCAGCTTCTTTACAGATTAGAACAATACTTAATAGCTATTTTTTTGGAAGAAAATTACATGAAAAAAGTCTGTGTGAGGTGCTTGGTAAATTTGATCATTGGAGCTTTGAACCCAGTGAAAGTGCAGATGAGTGTTAGTTCCAGTTTTCTTCTCTGCATCGTGCTTGCTACTGTCTGAGCCAACTGAGATGCTTACATTCATAATCTATGTGCAATGGTATGTCTCTATATCCACAGATATGTGTGTGTCTGTGTAGATGAACTTTTGAACTAAATTTATCAAAATCTTTTTTCTAGTGAGGCTGCTTTAAAACGCTCTGTTGAGAACATTTGTTCCCATGAAGCTTTATTAACGGAAACCATGGGTATGTGTAGGCCTGACTTGATTTTAGTTATTTTGCTTGTATCTAGTTTCACAAAATGTAGTTGTTTGCTTTTAAGTAAAATAAGCACTTGTAGGTATATGTGAGTAAAGATTTAATGAGTCATTTTGCTGACATATGGGAACTTTTCAATTTCCTTTAACTTTCTGTCTCTTCAATTAAAATTTCTCTGATTGTGTTATGATGCAGAGACCACCGGGAAAGACCACTCAGACTCCAGTTGTTCCAAATTAGCTGAATTTTATTAAGCTGGCCAGTGACTACCCTCTTGGTCGGGATTTAGAGACTACAGCCCCGACTCAGGGGAGAGCCAGGTTTATAAAGGCAAAAAACACATCCTGAGATATCAGGCAGTTGCACAAGAATGACACCTTTGTTCCTGCAGTTGTGCAAGTAAGCAGTTACAAAAGCCAGATAAGGCATTAACTTGTGGTTAGCTTTTCCTGGAATTTCTCCTCCTGGAACTGCCTGCCCAGGTCAGGACAGGGTCAGAGACAGCTCATCAAGATGGCAGCCCTGTAAAAAATGGAGGAGCTTAGGCTAACACATTCCCTGCTGACTCTGGGACATGAGTCAAATCATTGACTATCTAGCAACTCATACCGGGTCCTTAAGACCATAGTTTTGATGCTGTTTAGACGCCTCCTTATATACCCAGTTAGACAATTTAGGAGGCATCACAGTAAAGCCTAGGAGGAGGAGTAGCAGGGGTCCAGCAGCTGCAATTATCAAGGTGGTGAGCCATGGGGACCAGGAAAACAATGACTGGTACCAGTCAGAAGATGCTTGTTGTTTCTCTTCCCTCTTCTCTAGGTTTTGTTTAACCAGGGCTAGGGGTTCCTTAATTACACCTGAATTATTGGCATAAAAACAGTAAGTCTCACCCAAGGCCATGCATAAGCCTCCTTCCTTTAGTAACAGTAGGTCCAGCCCCCTTCTTCTGTAGTACCATTTCAGCTGGGGAGTTGACCTGTATCTCCAACTGCCCAATAAAGTCCTGGAGATGTCCAAGGTCTCTGGACCCTGCAGTGCCTATTCGCACAAGGAGGGGGACAAGGATGGCTACAGGACTTCTCTTGACCCTTGAGAGACCTGGATTAAGGTAGAAGTATTCTTGTCTCTCTTCTCCACTGTAGAGGTAGACCTCGGGGAGTACATAGACCAGTATGCATGTGTCACCATAGTGAGAGTCCCATGCTAGATGCTCTGTGGCCGTGCAGTAGGTATTCCACGCATCATTTAGCATAACTTAGGTGAAGTTATCTTCCTAGGCATGGTCCTATGACCAGATAATTGACAAGTGAAACTGGAAAGGTTGGTCTTCCAACAGATAGACTAGTGTTTTTATAGTCTTGACCAGTTAAACTTATGGGGCTATTTGCTACTCTAACATTCCCCCTTCTGAAGAGGTAACCCTAAAATCTTTTAAGAATTAGATAAGAGTTCCCAAATACTTTTGGTATTTTTGGACTTTGATACATACCATGCTGCTAAGAGGCCCAAGGGCATTTTGGCTTTTAGCCAAGAAAGAAACTGGCTACTTTTCTTTGGGGTCTTTTAACCCTAGCTGCCTAGCCAATTTCTACCTCCTGTTCTTATCACACCATCCTCTGAAGGGGTTACCCAAATTGCCAATCGGGATTCGGGGCACAGACCACTGCTGAATAGGGGCACAGAGTGTGCCAATTGGGATACCCCTTCAGTGGGTCTACCTAAAGGACCCCCCATATTGTGTAACTGATAGCTGTAGAGAGAAAAAAAAGTCTTTGGTGCCTGGGAGATATGAAAGAGAAGTAAAGGCAATAGTAGTTAGCATTATAAGCTCTAGACAGAGAACCAGAAAAAGTCAGAATAGGACAAATTTCCAATGTCCAAATCAAAGTCCATCAGAATTTCTTGATGAGGGCTTCCAAAAGCATCCATCTTTTGGGTTCCTCCTCATTTTTCTTTTTGTCACTAAGGCTGCACTTGAGAGTGATGATCTTAGGATTTGTTTTTGGGCACTTTGGCAGCTGTTGGCGTGGCTAGAATCAGTGAGAGTCCCCTCCCAAATGGTTTTGAGGCAGGGAGAAAAAAGAACTTTTGCCATCATTTAACTTTTAGATTGGAACAATAATGGACTTGTCTTCCTTACACTGCAGTGTTGAATTAGGCTAAGATTTGATCTTTATTCATCTGAGTAGCATTTTAGAAATAAAAATCATCAATGAGAAAAAATTGTCTAGCATCTTATATAAACTTAAGCCTAATGTCTGGGAAATGCAATTCCTTGGACTCTTAGAGAAATATTCTAATCTTTTAATTTTTGTTGTTGTTGTTATACTTTCCTATTGGGTGTTTAAAACTGTACAGTTGGCCCAAATAAATCAATTTGTTTTTACTCTTAAGGTCAGTTGAGGATCTGGCCTCAGGGATCACATGGGCTTTGGAGGAACCTTTGACTCCTTAGGCCTTTATTTTACCATTTTCATCCATATGAGGATGACAGTCCCTGGAAGACTGTTGAATCCCATTTTCAGGGCACAGTACCTAAGCCGAGGTGGAAGATGCAGGAGAAAGAAAAGCCATCTATTGATGTAAGGGTCCAGGTGGTTGGGATTGCCAGCAACCACATCCCAGACCAATGTGCCATGGTGACATCCAAAGACCTGGAATTGGGCCATTCTACATCAAATGTGGACCATTCCAACTCACACAGGGTGCACAGTTTGCTGGGAGAGAGTTTCACTACATATTCTACCTCCTCACAGAATCCTTCCTGGAAATGTCTCAACATACAACCAAGTGGTGTTTTATCTGAGCTACCCTCCCCCCTCCAATTTTTATACCAGTAATTATAGGCATACCAAAAGAAGACAGTCCACAAAACAAAAGACAAAACAATGAAAACATAAAAGATCAAGACAAACATGCAGTGGCCACTTTCACTCACACCAGAATCAGAAATCGATGGGGCAAGAGGACGTCTCCCCTTCCCCAGAGACCGGGTTAATGATTGCTTCCAATTTCCCCTTTCTCTCCCCTTGTCTGGACCAGGAGACTTACCAAAGCACTTCCAGAGGCCTCTCACAATTGTCCAATCTTACTTTAGTTTTAGAAATTTGTAAATTTGTGATTTTATGAAGCTGGCTACTGAGACTAACTGTATTGGAGAGTTCTGGGGTTGATTGAGAGACCCTGCTTCAATGAATACCATAGAAGAGTGATCAAGGATGATTCAACCTCGGGCCTTCACATGCACTCACATATACACACACTCATGAAAATGGAAAAGGAAAAAAATTATGGATACCAGATCCCAGTAGAGATCCCAACAGACTGTGAAGAAGGGTAAAAGGAGATGCTCTGAAGAGGAAGATCTTCCCACCCAGCCTGGGGACTTTACACATCTCTCCCTACAATCCTTTGTGTCTTATAAAAGCCCTGTGTACTCTCTGAGCTCTTGAGTATGGGGAGATTTGAGACAGAGATGTGTCCTTTGGTTTTCTTGGGGCCAGTTTTGAATAAACCCATTTCTACCAATTTCTGTCTCTGGGCTTTGATAAAGAAGCAGGGGGTTTCCAGAAACACTACCAGCTTACACAGAAAAATCAACATCAGCCAGGAGGCATCCATTGACTAGAAATAATTGGTAAATAAACCTCACTAGTTACCCAAGGTTTCAAAGTCAGTATGGCTATAGAAATGTGAAAATGCTCACCAAGTTTGTTTTATTCCTTCATCTCATAAACAATCCAAGAGTAAAAGTGTCTAGTCCATTGTGTTCGTTCCAAGAGATGACTTCCGGAAAGTAGTGGTCCAATCTTAACACTTCTTGGGACTGGGGATATGGCTCAGTGTGTAGAGTGCTCACTTAGCATGCATGAAACCCTGGATTCCATCTCCAGCACAACATAAACCTGATGTCATAACAAATTTCCTATAATTCCAGCACTCTGGAAATATATACAGGGGATCAGGTGTATATCATCCTCAGTACATAGGGAGTTTGAGGCAAGCCTGGGGTATGTGAGACCATGTGTCAAAAAATAACAGATGGAATCTATTACAGAATTCCAGAACTGGTCAAACACAGAAAGTATCTGTGAGTTGCTTAACCCCAAGTGACACATCTTCAATGCAACTTTTGCACTTAGGATGAATGCCTCTCTTAGCTCTTACCAGAGAAGTTTCCTTATGCAGCAAATGGTGATTAACACAGAAACCCACAATTGACCAATGTACAGAGAACAAGAGGCCACAGAGTGCTGATTCCTGAATAGGATAGCTGTTTCAAACTTCTGCCTCCCAAGGTTCAGGGAACATTGTGGAAGAGGAGGGGGAAAGATTGTAAGAGTCAGAGGGGTTGGATGACCACAGGGAAGCAGAGTTTTCCAGACAACTGGACAACTGGTCAGTTACTCATATGAACTCTCAGCAATGGTGACAGCATGCACAAGTCCTATGTAAACTGAAACCAAACATGGGGAAGTGAGTAAGAAATCCCAGCCCAATCTAAGGAACTTCTGGCAGTTGATATCTGCTGGGAGGGGAAAACACAGTGTCTTAGAGGGTTAGGGACTCTTGATGGGCCTAGTGAATGGATCCACACTGAAGGACATTGGAGGATGCAAATCATACTCTATGGGCCATATTATATCTATATAAGATATTTCATTAAATTGGCCAGGGAACAGTAGAGGAGGTAGGGAGAAGGGAACACATCTAAATGCCATCAAACTATATTGTATTAAAATCACAAAAAATCAATTAAAAATTCAAAAAAGGCAAATAAATAAAAATAAGCACCCAACAGGAAAAAAAAAAAAAAAAAAACACAGCAAAAAAACCAACAACAAACACTCCTCAAGCTTTTAAATTCCTACCCATATTTCTGGATTCCTGTTGTTAAAATTCCTTCCCTGAAAGAGATGTAAAGTACATCTACCCCCACCTCCAAAATATAATTCTACCACAGTTCACCCTGGGGAGCCAATGAGTTT